GAAAGAAAGAGATTGTGCGTAATTGTTTTTCATTTGTCTGTTTGTCTATGTACCTTTCCCCTAATTAATCGGAAAAACAATCTAACCAAAAGTGTTTTACCTGGTTCAGTTTAAAGATCCGCATCTGTGTCATCGTTGTAACATCATCGATCTTACGTGTAGATTCGTTTACGTCTCGTATTTTCTTTCTTTCGTTGCCTTTTCCGTCTTTCTTTTCAAGCAAAAGAAATCACTCACTGATGCACTTTTCCCATGTTGTTTCAGTCAAAGGTCTACTTTTTTGCGATCGGCTGCCACGTTCTATTTGGAGGCGTTGCAGGGACGATCTTCTCTGTTTGAAGTGTGCAAAGAAGTACAGCGATTGGAGAAGTTTGCGGAAACATATGAATTTTTTCTGCCAAATGGAACCGCTTTATCCTTGTCCTTATTGCACCCACAGGGCTAGAATACCGACTCTACTCAAGTATCACGTCAAGCGTGAGCACGCAGCTTTCGCGCCAAAGATGGTCAAGTAGTGTTTCGATAATTCACGATTATCGTGCTTTTCGCGATTTCGAGATCGAAGCCAGTATGTATCTCTTCTGTAAAAAAGTAAATTCAAACACGGTTTATCTGATATTCCGCAAGAATCAAATTTTATGCGCTCTACGAACAAATTGTAGTTTTTATTGTTGCTGATATAAGATGCAATAAATATGTCGTTCATGAATATTGTCGTACTTTTACGTAGAGTACGGATTCGTAAATCGTATCCTAACTATTCTCCCCTCAATGAAGTAGTCATCGTCGAATGTTCCATTCAATAAATGTTCAAAAATAATTGTACTTACTTCCATGCAGCGTAAAGATTCTGAATCACATCCCGATAGTTCTCTTCCGATTTCGTCGTTTCATTCATTCTCATTATTCATGTGTTCATCGTTTACGGTTCACAGATTTAATGTCCATCGATCTCCGTTTCTCTGCATTCAAATAAATCTTTTGTATCACGTCGAATCTCCACATTGATCGTATCTGTTTCTTTTTTTTTTTTTTTTTTTTTTTTTCAGACGGACGCGCTGTCGTTTCTAAGCGCTATGATTGTTTCGATGTTCGTTAGATCTGTTGGAAAAGGGACGAACAGTATTTCTCTCTAACGGAAACGCTTTTGATTTTTAGGGGGTGGTCATTTGTCAGGCCAACAGCTGGACGACTCGCTGATGCCGGACCAATCCGGTAAACCTGTCTTTGTCTGTCCGAAATGCGGCAAAGGTTACACCTGGAAGGCGAGTCTCCAGCGTCACTTGAGCACTGGTTGCGGATTACCACCTATGTTCTGCTGCAAATTATGCGACTACAGAACCAGCAGAAAGGACATACTTTTCAGGCATATGAGACACGTGCACTTGCGACTTCCAGCTTAGCGTCACTTTACCTTCGCCAGCCTTCTTTTCCGTTGTTTCTCCAAGTTCACCGTCCGCATGTTTCCAGGCTAGACGATCTTTTCTCGTCAAGATGGACGTTGAAAATTGAAAAGTGTTCAAATCCGTACGATAGGAAGATCATTAATGATCGAATGATAATGGTATATTGATAGCGAATTACTTTGGTACAACCTCTCTCTATTTTCCTTTCCATCTATCTGCCTGTTTCTCTCTTCTTTTATGTCTGTCTGTCTCTCCCCCTCTTTCTGTCCTTTCTTCTCTCTGTTTCACCTCTCTTTTTAAAGTATTTGACAAATATATTATTTTTAAATTATTTAATAAACAAGCACACATTAAACGATTCTACGTTTGTCTTTGCAAGTTCTGCGCAAAGACTGAACAAACGTAGACCGTGATGTTCTTCTCTCTTGTAATGTTAGTTATTTAGCACGCTAAAAGTTTGATTGTTTCTTCATTTATTAAGCTGTACTTATACGCAAAAGAAATTATGATTCTTCGTTGAGAGACGGTCGAAGGATGCTCACGGAGCATTGTTCCTTGAACAAGAATTCGATGCGGCGTCGTACGAGTTCGCTCGATCTGAAAAAAAAAAAAAGAAAAAGAAAAAAAATAAAAAAGAACAACGACGTCGAGGCATCTTTGTTTCATCAATGTTTTTTTTGGTTTGTTTCAGACGTTTGGAACGTACAAGGTTACATGACCAACTACGGCCCCGTTGATGGTCTACAACATCCTCTGGAATTCGATAAATTTAAGATTTCCGCGGCTGCACAATCGTTGTTGAACCATCACAAGCGACACATGTGCAGCTTTTGTAAGAAGGTCTTTCCTTTGAAGAACTTGTTGAGAAGGCACGTGCAATTTGGCTGCAAGATGAATCCCAGAAATTCACAATTTGCTTGCTCGTTCTGCCCATACAAGAGCACCTACAAAGCGAATATGGAAAGACACGTGCGAAATGTTCACGATACCGGCGTGCTAAAGTTTCGTTGCGATCTGTGCAACTTCCGTAGCAATTATTCATTTTGTGTGAGAAGGCATATGAAGACTTTCCATCGTACGGTCGACTCGAACGAAACGAGGAAATAGTCGTGGACTGTCTGTGACTACTTGTTTTTCTTATCATGATATTCAGGAAATCGACTACGGTCGATTTAGCAGTCGATTTAGGCTATATTGTATCATGAGAGAATAAAATTGCCAGTGGTTACAGAATCCATTATGAAAGAACGTAGTACTTCGCACGTAATAATATAATAATATTATTTCATAAGCAAAAGTATTTGTAACTGTAACGAAAAACCGGTTTAATCGTACGCGTGCCGTTCACAGAGTTTTGTGATTTTGTAAAAACTCAGTATTACAGGTGAAGCAAATATTACCGTTCGAATTCTCCATTTAATTTGACGATTTTTAATTGCGCCATCGCGATAATTGTCATTGTCGTTGTACCGATAAAAAGCAAATATTACGACAAGCGCGTATAATTAATCAACGTTATATTTTTACTCAGCCGTTAGACTTTTGTATATTTTTCGTTCGTATTCGCTAAAAGATTCCTTCTTTCGAGAGGAAGCTGCATATTCAATTCAAGTTAAATACGATCGATGTATCGTAAATTCCGTACAACCGAATCCCCCCTACAAATTAATTTTTACCAATACTACATGCATTTGATCGTTTCTTCAGTATATCGCCATCCAAATTTGATAATATTGTAAACATCGCTGTTTTACCAAAATAAATAACAAATGCTCAGGTTGCTTGTTAACTCGAGAGTAAAATAAATTATTCAATAGATTTTATCACCATAGTTGTTTGAACGTAGCGATCTGTGTTTGCCAAAAAATAACTATATATATATATATATATCTATTGCAATTCTGTTCGTTTTTTTCATAGTGCCCTGAGAAATGTACGATGCGATTCAACTTATTATACTTTGCGAAGGTTACTTTCAGGTTCTTTTCGACGAAGCGGGATCGACTCGACACGACAGTGAGAAAGGAAATTTCTTGAATGTCAGCGAGCCGTGGATAAAAAGAATTTGTTAATTGTGTTATCTATGTGTGTTGGATGAAAAACTGTTACTTATCATTTCATGATGTTCGTGGTCGATCGATCCAATTAACCAATCTGCTGTTGTTGTTTCAGCATTGTTGTGGCCTTACAAGACCATCATTGCGCTCGAGCCAGAAAATCGACTTGCTCGAAGGAACAATTGGCAGCAGCAGCAGCAACAGCAGCAGCAGCAGCAGCA